TGCAGTGTGAAACCCTCAGTCATGACACACAGGTATGAGAATGGGTGTCAAGAAAAAAAAATTTACAACCATATAAAGTAGAGAAGTGAATATTAATATAGTCAAACAGTGAGGGTCCAGAGGGCTTTGACCTCTGGTGTTTCAGTTTTACATTGTCAATCACGGGGGGAGAGGTGCCCAGTGTGTTCCCCTTAAATCTGGCACTGTTTGTGATACTGAATTACATGTAGTTAAGTGTGCCCCATTATGTTGCCTTTAACCCTAACCCTCCTCAATCCTTCACCTGTTGGAGGACTGAGGAGTGTTAGGGTTAAGAAGGTCATGGGTGCTACAAGTGGTACAAGTAAAATAAATGAGAGATTTGATAGAAAAGAAATCAAAAGCTTACGCACCTTGTTTTCCAGCATGATGAGAGTTAAGACCCTGAGACACGTATCTACCCCCAGCAATTCCAAAGGTAAATGAAGAGGAAAATCGGCCAGTGAGAAGCGTGTATGATCTGGCAATGCAAAAATCATTGGTGGTTGTGTGTCCAAGACTTGAATTTCTACACGTGTTTTGCCTGGCACAGGAACTGGAGCACTTAAAAAACGCAGTATCCAAGTTTCTATCTGACGAACATCATGTCTGACCAGTGGAGGAATGTCACTGCATATACCGGTCAAAACGCCCCACACACAATCCCTGTAATGCAAAACATATCAATAGTTTTTACAAAGACATGAATTTTAGAATGTGAGGGACATACATTCAGGGCTCAAATTTCGACTTTTGGGGGGCACTGCCATTGTGGCCTCAAGAAATGGGACATTTTAAGTGGCCTAATTTTGAGTGGCTGTATACATTGTACAGGTCTGTATTATGCTGGGCTAGGCTGACTGGTCGCCATGCACCTGGGCTGCCACGTGCCTGCAGCATTATACATGTATACATGTACATACATGTAACTTTGGGCTGAAGAACAAAATTACATATACATGTACATGTACATTTACATATCAAAACCAACTGCATGCAAGCCTCATATATGTACCTTACGGCACATCGGGTCGGCTGGCATGGCCGTAACCCATGTGGTGTAAAGACAATCATGTACTGGTACATTAGACCCTGTGACTTTGAGGTCGGAAACTTATGGGAAAAATTCGGGTAGGTATTGTTTCAAGGGGCACCACTGCCAGAAAAAGTGGGCCACACAAGTGGGACAAAGTGGAAATTTCAGGGCACTGCGGCCAATTGTAAGGGCACTGTCTGCCATGACCACAGTGGTACATTCAGAGAAAGGTCATACAGGGCCCTGAGGTCAGACATTTGCAAACACAGTAGGCTAGGATAAAATATCACTAACCAATCCAGAGGGATTGCAGCTATTAAGCATCTCACCTCAATTTTTCTGTCTTTTTAATTAGGGTAATACATGTACATGCCCATGTACAGGTAGAGTGCACCTTGTCTTTTTCTGTTACATGTCAGGGCTCAAAATTAACGGGCACAGGTACAATGAAATACGCCCATTTGTCTCAGAAATGCACATGTAAATCACAAAGACAGGCCCAAGTACTTACGCCCATTTGATTCCATTAATGTAGTGAAAAATACACGTACCTGAACATTTTTACTGTTTGTTTCTCTTGTCATAAAAAATACCGTAACTTTTTGACTTCACTTCCGATCAGCCTCGTCACGGAACCATAACACTGTGCAATTTCTTTATGTCACTGAGCACACGCTGCAGTCTCGCATGCGATGCATGCACACACATGAAAGTACACACAAATACCCATGGCCAGTGTCACGATCTCACTGAATGGTCTGCACAGTGGCCGTGTCTGAATTGAAACAGCTGGAGTTTACACACGATTGAATGGAAACTGGCCATGACCACAACCTCCTAGACTCGTGCGTAAATTCAAGCCAAATGAGTGGATTCAGTTAAGACTTCAGTTTCGCTGGTTCCAGTCACAGCTTGAATATGTGGTTTTGATCGCTGCTCCAAAATAGCTGAAACCAGCGAAAAGTCTCAGCCTAATCCACTCGCTTCGAAAAGGCACAATTGCTGCAGTTAGTTCCCTTCTACGTCTGTGTGCATATGCATAAAGGCCTGGTGCCCGACTGTTGGCGTTGCGTCACTAAGCACAAAAGCAACAGCAATAACCACGGTCTTTAATATTGTATGGGAGCTACATGTACTTGCTCCCATAAACTGATAAATTCAGCTGTCTTGGGAGCAAGTGCTTTCCCAATTTTAAGCCCTGCATGTACAGTACTTCTACTTTCAATCATTTATGTAATTACCTTTCACTGAAAGGATACATGTACATGATACGCATTAAGGAAGGACACAGGAATTACAACTCTGGCACTTCAAAGTGCTCAATGATCGGCAAAGAAAAATGAAAAGCTCTACTTCCAATTAAAATCCTCTCAAACAATAGGGTCAGGAGGTAAAAAATTGGGGGGGGTCAATTTTTTGTGCAGACTGAATGGGGATGGAAGCTATCAAAAATTGTCATAAAAACTTGTCTTAATTAATGTAACAAATATACAGGTGAAAGTTCTTAAGAATTATGGAAAAAATATATAGTTGACAATTCTTAAGAATTATGGGCAATTCGTACCACTAACTATGCACAATGCTAGTTACATGTAGGAAAGCATGACGGAAAACTGGCAAACAATTATGTCTGCATATCGCATGAAAAGCATACATGATGCATCTAGAATGGCGGTCGACAAAGTTTGCACTGCAGCAGGAAATTTTGTGGAAACACGCTCACTTCAAGTACGAGCATGGTATGAGGAATACAACATCAAATTAAATTCATGAACACAGAAAATAGATACATGTACATAGACAGGAGATCCATTTTTTTTTTTTTTTCGCGGTGCAACTTTAGCTGTGTGCATGTACAGTGCAGCGGGACAATGCTACATGTACATGTATTTCGGCTGAGATGCACAGACTGTTTGCCTTCTTTGGGAATGGCGCTGCTTAGTGAAAACTAGTGTAGCATTGCTTCATTGCATTGTTTGAGCATTGCACATGCACTTTCACTCCAGTGATAGCAAACACGAAGGGAACCTAAATGATAATAATGGCAATTACACTAAGTACCTTTTAATCTATTGTGTGGTAATGCCTGACCTCAGGAAGGAGGACCGGTACGGCAAGGTTGGCAGGTCTGCCTTTGTTCACAAAGTTTTAAGGATGCAGATTACCAGTGAAAAATTTGGGCAATAATATCATAAGGTACATGTACAAAGGGATGTCATGGCTGCAAAACGGATGGTGTGTAACATGTGGTCACTGCACTCTGGCTACCGACATACAGCTCTGAATATGCCAGAAAGCCATAATTGGCCAGATGTTATACATGTAGCCAAGGCAGTTCAAACTTCTTGTGTCCTTCCTCCAATGATATACATGTACATGTTCTGGTTCAATGAGTCACACATTTACCCAGCTGAGTCCATTACAGCTGGACTACATTTGCTACACTGCTCGACACGAGTGCAGGAAAAATATGCACATCACTAGAGGATCAAGTTATTACATTACACGTTAAGTTGATGCCATCCTAATACCAGTATCCGAAACCATGTGATGCATGTAAACCTCAAACCTATACATGTGTAAATTACCGTTAATACCATTATTTTTTACATGTACATGTTCACCTTCCCGCCCTCTCCACTCTTCTGTTGGAGGATACTGACCTTACCATTTTGTCATGGACAAGTCATGTGCACAATTAATCCCTACATGTAGTTCCAATGCTATACTTCTTTGATCACAAAGCATTATACTGGATTGGCCATTTCTATGATTCCAAGTTAAACCAGACAAATGGATAGGATATGATTTGATAACAATTGTGGAAAGCCCTCACCAAATGATTTAATTCACAAAAACCCACCTTAATGATCCTTTTGAGCCACCAACTTTTCGGCTGCAAGTTCTGTCATTGCAGGAATCAATCAGACGCTTTAGGATGAACAGACACTCTCTGAAGGTAGAGATGAATGGATGATGGCTGAGTATGCAGAGTGATGTGAGTGAATTATTCCGAACTTTCTGGGCCTGCTTAAGTCTTCTACGAGTTCTTGGTGACCTTTTCTCTCGTCCTTCATCTGAAGGTACACTCAGAGTTTCATTGCTGTTGGAATTCTGTGTATTAAGTAGTGCCTTTTCATTGGGATTTTCCATTTTCCTTTCAGAAGATTTGAATGGCCGATAGAAGTTGACACAGATACCATATCTAGCTCTTCCACTATCTTTATCCGTCAAAGTAAAAACAAAAGATGTGTTTTCTCTCAGACTTAACTTTTTCTGCCCAACTGTGAGACATCCTTCAGGTTGACAAAAGAAGACGACATCTTGAGGCAATGGGAAGTCTGGATGGTCATCTTGAGGATACCGACGCAGCATTTCTGGTGTTTGTGCAACATTATTGTTGCTGTATGGATGACGACTTCCCACAATTAATATATAATCCAGAAGACGGGGACAAAAGTGTTTTCTGCCTGCTTGAAAACCTTCCATATTCGCATACAAGATGTTGACAATGTTCCTTAATTCCTGATACTCAAGCTTCTTAACTCCAGCTGCATCTTGGTGATGTATGGTACATGTATCTTGTGTTAATTTATTCTCACAGGCTTGTGTTTAGAATCATCTACCGTCCAACTTGGTAAGTGCCATCAACTCTGAAAAAGGAGAAAATAAACACACATTAAACCCTCATTTCAATCTGCTAAGCACTTCAACTTTGCCCTTTTAACGTATAACCTGTTGCCTTTCATGGGGATCCTCATGGTACCTTAACTACACTGCCACAAGGGTAGACGACCCAATCAAGAAGCAAACCAACACTGGAATCTTCAGACAATTAATTGGCTTGATTTCCTTCTGATTAGTCATATATTCAGCCATCATAAACACAATGGTACACCAGGCAAAACCAAAACTAAAATTTGTCTAAAATTTGGCTCAAATAAAAATATACCAATGCTATGTAATCCAATACAAAGTTACAGCTGTAAGGTCAGCAACCAGGGTGCAAATTTTCAGTGTGGGAACTATCACAGCCCTTTGTGCAACAAAACTTCCTAGCTACGATACCGTATATGTAAGTTGTATACAAATTGTTACACAACTTCCAACTGATGGACGTGACATTTACATAACGTATTGTCAAATGCCAATGGCACGTAGGGCCACCTATCACAATGCCTTGAAATTACGCACTACAGGTCTGAGGTCACATTCAAATAAGTGCAAGCTTGATCAAGGACCATAGCTAAGTACATGTATATATGTACAATGTATAATACAATTAACTCCGATTGAAGGCACGCAAGTCAATGATGGTTGGACTAGTCTACATGCACAGTGTAGATGTGTATTCGCAACCTGATTGCTAAGGTTGTTTACATCGTTAGTTGTCATACTAGCTTTTTTAATAGCATAGTGCAGACACTATGTCACTCGTAAACAATCATTTTCACTTTCCTTCCGTTATTTTCCTACAGCCTGTCTGTTGACACACTGTCTTTTATTTCTCTCAAACATGTACATGTAATTACAGTGTATGCTCCATTTTAATGGTTTTTGGGTCAGATTCGACATAAGTAAATACATGTACATGTACCTCCACATGATGAACACTTTCAGCACCACATGCAAAGCATGGTTGAAGTCTGAAACATGCCTTCGTAGACTTCTGTGTATGCAATCTATGCTACAACCAATCCCTGACCAATCACAGAACTGGATTTGCTATTACTATTCATATTACTCCTCTGCAGTCTATCGGTATGGAGTCACGTTCAATAATGTGAAAATCCTCTGGCAAGAGAGTTTACATGTAGTGTAGATCAGGGAGCCGGACTGTGAATTCCTGTATGTTTATCTTGAGTTATATACCAATAAATGTAGCAACCTTGACTCCATGGGCAGCAGGCACGTTCCTTCACTAGCCCCCTGGTCGTGTAGAATTCTAAAATGACACTGACTGGCTATTCAAAATGAATATACACAAACGTAAAATCAATTGCACATGTATTTCAAAAGCTACATGCTCGTGCCCTTACATTTTCCTGCACGTCATGTGTGTGTAAATCTGCATTACGCATATATACACACTGACTAAAGGCCTAATTTAAATATCCAAAATAGTAGGATTTTTAAATTATAACAATACCAAAGGTTAGATTGCATCTCATAAGTCTGAAAAAAGCGTTTAAAAAAGTCTGTAAGTCCGATGCCTCATACATGTAGGTCCAACGCCCCACAAGTCCGCCAAATGGGTTTAAAAGTTCCAATGGTTTTTTCGGCCTATGGCATAGATCCAATGCCTCAAAAAATCTGACGCCTCAAAAGTCCGACGTTTGATTTAATTAACGATCTTTACGAGCATATGAAGTCGGGGCTACACACTGTAGGAACAACACTGGTTCCTGGTGTCAAGTATGGTGTACTATTTATGACATATACAAACATTTTTAACATTTCAAAAGTATTACAGTCGAAAAAATGCTTTTTATATTTAGCGAAGTATCATACATCATTCTTACACATGGTGGTGTTTTGGATTTATAAAGTACTGGACTAGTGTACGAACTGTGCAGGTAGTCTGCTTGATTTAGTTTTCCTGACAGGGTCAGTACCGTGGGCACGAGTTGGGAACAAAGTTGAATTTCACTCACGGGCGACATGTCGCGCGGGCCCGCACTCCTCCATGTTTCACAGTCAATCACACTGATGCTTCATATTAAGTCAGACACCTTATTGGTCCGACATCGGCTTTATGAGGCGTCGGACCTATGAGGCATTGGAACTATGAGGCACCCTGAGGCTTACGATGCGCTCCCATCGTACCCGTGGGATTGAGGTTGATACGTGCAGTGAACACACACTGTTCACATGTATGTGTACATGTACACAATGAAGCTGCAAGCATAGCAAGAGTGGTAGGATTTTTTATGCACGGTGAAATAACATACATGTACATGTGTGCATGTACATGCATGCTAAATGTACGGTGTACATGTTTGATGGTGCAGCACATGCACGCACAGCTGCCCATGATATTATTTCTAGTCAGCCTTGCAAGCAAAGTGGTGCATTTTATTGGCCCACAGCAGGTCTTACTAGATACAGTGTACATGTAATGACCGTGGGACCAGTGCTAAGGTCGAACCCTGTGCTACTTTTTCTTCCCACAGGCTTGAATGACCTCACAACAGCTGACTAGAGTCATTCGCACTTCAACTTCACTGTACATGTGCTACATGTACATGTAGGTACATCATGAACGAGGAATCATGAATGAGGAGGATGAGGCAGTTTGGAACTTGATGGTCAAGTACTAAATTACATGTAGGTCTTGACACAATGACAGAGTTTTCTGCAAACACTACAGAGCTGCTGTTACAAAGTCTTGCATAGGGAGCGGCATCATATCTTGATCAAATACTGACCCACGTGAATAGTGATGCTTTCTTGGCCAATAAAATGACCAGTAAAAATACATGCCAGTAAGTACTTATTAGCTCAGCCCTTACACTCTCAACAGTTAGTGTGTACATATGAACACACCTACATGATTAGTATATTCCCAGATTAGGTCAATTTGACAAACGTCACATTGTACATGTACATACAACGCGACACACTATCACAGAAATGTTGTTTCATTATTACTAATCGGTCCACAACAATGTTATGAAACTGTGGATTATTACAGTGTATTAATAAAATTCTTGTGGATGTTTGCCATCAGTGGTTTAACTACATGTAAAGCACATGCCTCCACCCAGCAGATACAGTGCATGACAAACATTAGAATAACAAGAAGTGTATGCCTGTTTGAGGACAGATCATAAGGCTTTTCTGCATTTTGAATGTTATTGAAAAAGAGAATATGGCTTTGAAGAATCAACGTTAAATGTCACATTATTTTCGTCCATAACACTTCCCTTTCCAGCCATCTGCAAAGTGTCAATTCAATTGCACAGGGAATCGGGGAGACATTGGGCTAATGTACCTTTTAATGTCACATGACTTGTCGCTCTATCACACCATCATCACATGAGGTCAATTTTACTCTGTTAACCCTTCCTTTTCTAGTTATCTGCATAGTTTCAACCGGATGGGACACGTACCGGTACTTCAGGAGATAGTGTTCTTTAAGAGTGCACTTTTCAGGTCACATGACTTGGCACCTAATAAACTCATCATCACAGTTGGTTCGTTTTCATCTTTGACACATCCCTTTCTAGTTATCTGCAAAGTTTCAACCCGATGGGACACATACTTCAGGAAATAAAGGGCTTTAAGAGTACACATTTAATGTCATGTGACTTGGCACCTGATGATGTAATCATCACGAGGACAATTTTCATCTATATCCCTTCCTTTTCTAGTTATCTGCAAAGTTTCAACTCAATGAGACACACCTCCTACTGTAGGACACCAGTGACATCAAGATGACGATTTTTCTTGGCCCCTGTCTACCCTCAGGAATGAGTGTGGCCCTAATATGTATTAAGTTTGATCAAAAAATGAACCTTAGTCTTGCTGTTGAAAAATGTGTACAAAAATTTTGGAAAATATTCAATATTATAAATTCCACGATAAATCAGGTGATGACTTCATTATGACGTCATGTTTCAGAAGACACCCTTGCTATAAATTACATGTACTTCAGTGTGTAAAGTTTCAAAGTCATATGACTTTGTTTAATGCCCAAAGATGAGATGAGAAAAAGGGCTGGAAGTTTCACTCACCGTGTGTGGCTGTTGAAAAATGTGTTCAACACATGGGAAATTTTGAATATTGAAAATTCCATGATAAATCAGGTGATGACACCATAATGACATCATGTTACACGAAAGACCTTTGCTACAAGTTAATTGTGTGTGTAAAGGCATATGACTTTGTGCAATGCCCAAAGACAAGACGAAAAAGTGGGGGAAGATCAAGGAGGAAAAAAAAGAAAAAGAAAAACACATGTTAGTAGGGAAAAAAGGCCTTTTTTACAGGTCTGTTACATGCACAAAAATATGGACTTGCCTAAACAAAGGAAAAGGAGATAAAGTTATTTAATCAGGAATACAGTCAGTACATTGCCAGCTGGTTTACCAGTTACTGCATAGAAAATATCATGAAACCTTGATTATGCTGTACATGTACATTTAACTACTGTAATGCTAAATTCATGCTAATCAATTTTTTCAGATACTGTAATCATGTCAGTCATCTTACACTTCCACTACAATGCTGCTGAAAAACAATGCACATGTACAGGTGTGTACCTCAGAGGCCTAACTACACCTCCACACATGGAGACTGGGGGTGAGATGTTACATGCCTTCATCAATGGTTTGTTAATCATCATGACCATAGTGCCCTCCTTTTCTGTTGATGATTAATGTTATCTTTAATCTCCATGTCAGCAAAAGTATGCCTTTCACATACTGTATATCTAACAATCTGGAAGAATTTCAATAAACACAGAAGTCACTGACTTTTCTCACTGCAGAAATCAGAAAGTCATATGTCCAAAAAACTTAGTAACAAGTTAAATTAAAGGTTAGTTATACCATTGGTAAACGGACAACAATGGAACTTCAAAAAATTCCTGAATATCTTATTCGAAAGAAAGTAAATAACAGCCTCAATCCATCTCATCAGTAAAATATTTCTGCCCAGAATGCTGCCGTTTTCAAGAAACCAAGATTTTATTTCGTCAACAATGAACATAACACCAGACCAAACAAGCTTTAAGACTGCTTTAGGCTCAGTTGATGTCACCAACATAGTGACTAAAGCCCACTTTAACGCTTAATTTTGCTGCCGCAACATGAATCCTACCCAAACTGTACCTGGATTGCCCAGTATTAGTAGGGTGTCGTGTACAGAATACAGCAGAAGCAACGGTTAGCCAACCATGTTCTCCAAATCAGTTTAACCTGTACTAGGTAGGCCTAGTGACTTACTTTAGATACAATCTGTTCTATGGTTCTTCCCATCCCAACATCAACTCCAATATTAACTTGATTACTTCCCGAGTAAAAAGATTGCTGAATAAAGTGGATTGTTCTCTTGTGACACGAACCCAGAAGCCTCGGCCCTAGGGGATAATTTTGAAACAAACGCCTGAGTTGAATTTGCTGGTGACATGTACTATACATGTACATGTATTTCAGTCTACAGTTATTCAGATCTATGAAAAATCACACCCAGCAATACTCGCTACACATTCGACAATGTTGCATGCCTGAAGGTGCAACCACCCACCATGCACCCACCCACCTGTCATCATGGATGCTGTCATCTGACGTCTCCGCTTCCACGGGAGCAATTTGCCCTTTAAACAAATCGAAGTGGACTAGATTTCATACTGATATCTGAATATGTTTACATGCACCATGACATGACGAACACTGACTTATAAGTATTCGACAACCAGATTTACTAGCTGACATACAAATAAGAAATTCGCCATTTCATCAAGCATCGCACTCGTCAATATGTCTGCCAGAATGGCCTGCACTCCCCGCAGCTCATCAGCGCTGGATCTTGCTGCGCTTCATTGCGCATGTTCATGTCAGCGCCTACGTGCGTCATTATTGTGATTATGCAGGTTGCAGACCAGTAGTGGAAACGTTCTCCGCAGCTATTGCCAGCAGGTTGATGCTGCATGCAGAGCATGCAGATACCTGAATAGACGCGGAATGAATCGATCAACCGCTGGGCTGGCTATCTTCACCACACAGCATACATCAAGTCATACAACAGCGATTTGGGGACTGGATGCACATACGTGTACGTACCCGCATTTTTCTTCGTTGCACTGCGGTTTTCCACACGTACGCCTATTTGCATAATTCACCCCATCGTCATAGAGCACACATGTACCCAAAGTTATTAAATTAATGACGGACGTCTAAGCTATAGCCCACGCATCTGACGATAGGTTCAAAATATTATTTTGGAACCGCGTGCCAATTAATTCAAGACATTTTTTTAATTTGTAATTTATTGTTCCTTATATTGGCGTTGGTGCAGTGGCGTTCCATCGACTACTCGACCGACTTTTAGAATTCTGCGCGCATGAGAAGTCCTCCAGCAGAATAAATTTACAGTCGGAAAACCTACTGATGTATATTTTCCAACTGCAAACCAATTTTATAAAACGCCTGAATAAATTCTGTCATGCAATTCGTGGGGGTCCATCATTTTGAGTCATTGATTTAATTGGCGTATCAGTGACAAGTGTTCATTTTATACAATACTTACATGTCAACTGATTGGTGGGTCGTTGATCCCATGTCATTGAATTATTCGTTCTGTTGAACAAATACTGTTGAAAAGAACTTTATTTCACTTGCCTGGTTCCAGCCCCGATTTTCATATATTTCATTCACAGTAAGAAACTTACTTGTACTTAAGCCTACTTGGTACTTTGGAGACCAAGGTCATTATAGATGACCGTAGCGACCAGATGTCGGTAGAGTTGGCGGTCTTGAGCATGGGCAAGGAGGTCCTCCAGAGGGCAGATCCCCTCCACTTAAGTACTTGTGAGACCCAGGTTATTTGGGGGGGTCCAGGGGTGGCGCCAGCCAGCTGGGGGTGGGCGGGAGGCTGCGGAGAGCACACGCTTTGCAGGGACATCATCAGCCGATCTGGCATCGTGCCAGTAGCTGCAGTCTGCTCCTGTAGATGACGGAGGAGATGGCTGTAGCGACATCTGCCCCTTGTATTGTAGACCTCGTTGTTGGGGACGTGGTGGTACCAACGGATGCCACGGATTTAGCGCAGGCAGGTCCGAAGGTACGCATCAAGGCGGTGGATGGCTGTGGAGGAGGGAAACCACGATTCGCATCGGGAGAGGAGAACAGGTAATGCACAGGTGTTGAGAATGCGGATTTTGGTGGATGTGCAGATCTTGCTACTGCGCCTTACCCGTGAGAGACGACGAGCATCGATTCCCTCCCTGAAATTTATGTGTAAAGGCCTCACACTTTCAGACTGTAGTCGTTTAAATTAAACCCTTCCTTTCAACATTACCCTTTTCCACAACGTTATAAAAACGAGTGATGCATCCCATTCAAATTTTCCCATTGCTTTTGGTTACGCGTATGGTCCAAATATTCTTCACGTTCGATCAAAACTTACAATATGGTGTACTATTTACGACAAACATTTCTCTCTCTCTCTTGACTCCCTCCAGGCGACGCAACCAGACGACGCAACGGCACGACGGCTCCCTTGCGTCGTGCCGTCGGGTCGTTGCGTCGCCTTCTTGCCATTACTTTTGTACACACACGTCGCGTCGTGCGTCGTGTCGTGCTGTCGCCTGTCGCGTCGTACTGCCTTAGGTCCTTTCTATGTTGCATTTTTTGCCGCCTAAACGTCGCCCCTTCCGTCGCCCGTCGCGTCGAGCTGTCGTGCGTCGCGTCGTGCATCGTGTCGTGTATTGCGTCGCCTGAAGCACGACACGACGCACGACACGACGCACGACGCTTTGCTTCATGGTGTTTATAGGCGCCGTTA